ACCCCCCCACCCCGACCCCCGCCGCAGTGCACAAATTTCATGCACTGGGCTTCTAGGTAAAGTTCCTTCACCTTTTTCCCAGTTCTTTTATGGTGATCTCTTAACCTCAAATACCAGTTAACTATCAATTTTTGTTAAGGTGTTAACTGAGGTATTAACTAAGAACTGTGTAAAATAAGTTTTCTCCCCCTAGAAGACAAAAAAGACCCTCCCATGAAGAAAAAGAGGATGTGAGCTGGTGTCTGTCTTGTTACAGGTGGATACCTTTTTGTTCAACCCAGAAAATAACTCTAAAAGATTGATACTCAATGCCTAGAACCTATACATGGTTCACATTTTTTTTACCCCTAAGCTAACTTTTCACATGAATAAGGTAAAAAGAAATTTTTGTAGGTAAAGGGAAGAGGGAAAGAAGGAGTTCACTCTAAAAGAGCAGACAGCAAGAAACATTTATTAGAGTTCTTCAACTCTACTCTTCCTCTAAGTCAGTGATGGTGAACCTATGACACATGTGTCAGAGGTGACATGCGAACTCATTTATTTGGTTGATTTTTCTTTGTTAAATGGCATTTAAATATATACAAATGGGATTTCACATTACAACCAATAGGGTATTAATCGAACGGGGTGATTTATATAATTCAGAAAATCAAAATAACTTTTCTATTGTTAAACAAAGCAAGTAAGTACAGAAGCCAAACAGCATGGTTAAAGTTAAACTACAGTTTCTACCTGAGATGATTGCTACCATACTTCATTCCCCACTGGTTTTATGTACATGAGCCAAATAATGGACTCATCCTCATTAGTTACAAGTAGTAACTAATGCCCCCTAACTACAAGTAGTTTGACCGAATTAATTTTTCTGAACTGCCTGCTCTCCTGTTCCCTTGACATCTAGGCCCTGTAATATTCTTATAAACTTAAAAATTCCAATACCTAGAGGCAGAAGAAAAATACTGTGAATTATTTACTTTAAAAAAAGGGGGGGTCACATATAAAGACATGGTTCTAGTAACCAGGATGAAAATAAATCTTTAGAGAAAAATCCAATTATAATTATGATAAATTAAAGTGATGTGTGTGTGATGTGCCGATGAGTAGTATCCATAGAAAATCAACCCTAGGAATAAGTGATGTCCACAATGTCCTGTCCTCAACTACCCTGCTCAGCTTCTGAGGAAACATGCTTGTGGCTTCTTTTATGGTGTCAATCCATCTTAGTTTTTGTCTTCCTCTTTTTTTGCTGCCTTCTATTTTTCCCCGTATGACTGTCTTAAAATGACAAAAAGGAGCAACAATGACATTTGGTTGCCACAACTCAAATGCCAAGTCACATGTACATCATTATGACTTTTGAAGGGGTTCCAGTCTGGAAAAATGAAACAAATATATATAATGATGGAGAAAATGATAGTGACATAAAGCTCATTGCAGAAGCTAAGTCAAATACTCTACTACTCTCAAGACACAGCAAAAAAATTTGGAGAGAAAACAGTAATAAAAGAAATACAGGGTGGGGATTCCGGAAAACTAAGATGGCAGCATAGGTAAACACCAGGAAATTGCTGCCTCCCACAACAACTTCAAAAATACAACAAAAAGATAAAATGGACATCATCCAGAACTACAGGAAGGCTGGCTGAGTGGAAATTCTACAACCAGAAGGAAAGAGAAAAACACACTGAGAGCCAGAGGAGCTGTGGAAGTAAAGTGCAGACATAAGGG